TTCACACTTTCAATGGTAAGCCCTCCCGGACACAGATGTGCTGAGAAGTGTGACAGGTGTATCGATAACTTCAAAGAGCCCGGAGCAGGCAGAGCTTGAATAGCAGCTGGCTTCAGAGGGGGCTGGTACACACGAAACCAGCCCAGGGGGAGGCACCTGAGGCAGGCCTGCAGCCACAGCCAGAGCACCAAGAGAGGAGTGGGCAGGCACACAGGTAACAGACCATGCACCTTGCTGGGCACAAGCGAGCAGTCCGGGTGTCCTTGTGTATGAAGAGTTTGTGGCTTTTCTTCAAATAACAATGTATGTTCTCAATACCTGACCAGCCACGCAAAAAGCAAAAGCAAAGTGAGTAATGTGAGCTGTGTGTTTGTCCAAAACACATTTCCATCCAGTTGTGAAACCGCACCTTTAGGGAACGACCTTAATTTGTTGAAGTAGGACCAGTCCCTGCCAGGGCGCCAGAGAACAGAACTATGTGGTGGCAATGGGTAGATAAGAAGGCAGAGCAGATCTGGAGGGAGAGGGAGACAGAATACTGCAGGATGTATTTTGAGCATATGAAGCTTAAAAATCAGCTCAGAAACCTCTGGTTAAACCCCAACCCCTGATCGTGTAGTCCTCACAGCGCTCCAGCATGGTCAGAGGAATAAATATCAGCGGGAAAACAGTGGCACAGGAGAGTAGTGCCCACTGGTACGTTAACAGAATGTAGTTGAACGTGAGTGCTCAAAGTAGGCGTGGACACCAATACCTATTTCAATCAGTACCACACCAGCTTTTGGCTCCAGCTTCCAGTCGGTGCCAAATCACATCACCAGAATAGCATGCAAACTGTGCCACAGGACGACTGAGCAGAAACGAAGCTGTCTGGCTCATCTGACCCTACCCTGACACTGCTGATTACAGCTCCATCTGCAACAGCAACTACCAAGACACAAAATAGTGATCCTTCAAAAGTACTGGAGCCTCATGCTTACAAAGGAGCACATTTTTCAAGAGTTGTTTCTTAAAGGAAGTTTCTTCCAGTGCTTTAGGCTTTTTTCCAGTATTTCTAATGCTTTAATTGATCAGAATGAAGACATAAAAAAAAGCCTTTTCCAATGTAGTAAGCAGTGTCCTGTGAAAGAGATGGCTCTTATGAATTGTTTAATCAGGTCTTTCCCCACCCTTTCAAAGAGATTTACAAACTCAACACTTGCCTCTTAACTGTTCTTCCCAGAGGATGAACCAGCTTAAGTCCTGGCTGTTCCAAATTTTACTACAACCTCAGAATTTATGGGCTTTCCATAAATCAGTATTCAAAAAGATAAGTCACCTAGAAAAGCCCTTCCCAGCAAGGCAGAAGTTCCCAGTATTCAATACCTGTAGAGAGAAGGAACTGAGGAAGAAAGGGCACACCATGCTTCTTTACACACTAGACATCAGGCTAGGGCCAACAGCAGAGGAGCAATCAACAGCTCACAATAGGTTTTAGGTATAAAAAACAACTGGAAACTGCTGTTGTGGAAACTCTGTCAGCAGCAGAAGCCAAAACAAAGTCTTTCTGATACACAATGACACCTTTGTACTGGCAGAAGCTTACTTGCCGATAGCCTGTCTTACAGTTCTTCTACAGGACGTCTCATTTCTTCTTTGAAGGTCTGTCAAGAGACCATCTTGCAACTTGGCTCTCCCATCCAATAGTAAAACAAATCCAAAAAGGGTAATTAAGACAAGACTTATCCAATATACTAGAGAAACTTCAGAAGGTATATTATAACTGTTCATGTTATCAGATCTGCTGCTCCGAAATATTAAATTACAGCAAAACCTTAGCATGTGCTGTATGCTGCTCAGAAACCGCTGCATTTGTCAGCATGCAATTACATAGAATAAAATGTAATAGCTTCTAAAGGCAGTACGTAATAATTTCCTATGCCTTGCAGGTACAGACAAACACACATATTGGTGACATGGGTTGATTTACTGAGTTATTGCAAAATACAATACTTTGCAATCAATACAGAGCAACTCTATTCAAAAACTATTAAATACATGGTAACATCTGTGTCCTCTCGTGATAACAAAGTAAAAAATATTAAAGTTTTAACAGCTGGAACATCAAATGATGATATTCACAGAAGAGTAACAAAAGCACTGGTTGAAATCACACTCCAAATACTTAATTAGATGCAGTGTATGATCTATGCAGCAACTTTAATACTGGAATCCAGTACTCAAGGCTAGCTCTGGTTCACTGTATTCCTGCATTTTAGAACTTTTAATTTTTATTTAATCCACTACTTAAATTTCTTGCCATGACCCTCTGCTTACACCATGCTGCCCCAAATTAGCCTCCCTTCAATGACTGACATCACTGATGGACAGCCTCTGGAGGGCCAATTCAGATCTCTTCATAGCAGCAGGGGAGATCACTGGAGGACAGAGGATGGAAAGAACATCAGAAGCAGGAAAGTAGGATTAGAGGCTGTGACAGAACAAGTAGTAATAAACAGGACAGTGCATCTGTGACTGTTACAAAATACTGTTCAAGCAGCAGAACTCACACATGGATGCTTGTTGCTCAACAGCCCAGTGATTTGTCATTGGAGGCGTTACACACACACAGAACTCGGCAATAGCGCAGTAAATGATAAAATTGAGATCACTAATTTTACAGCAGTGATCAAAAGCACCTTTCCAATGCCTGCCAGTGCAAAGCTCATGTCCAAAATGATGGCGCTGAAATACAACTGTCAGTCAGCGGTGGACTTGTGAGAACACATGTGAATTCCAGTCAGAACTGCTGACAGAGGACACAAAGTGCCATTTTCCAAGCAGCACTTGAATAGCTTCCTTAAGTTTCTGCTCTCCCTAGCCATCCTTCTTTTAAAGTAGTAAAAAAACCCCCACCAGACCACCAACACAAATCCAAAAAAAAAAAACCAACCCTAAAAAAGCCCAACCAAACACAAAAATAAAGTAAAAAGACTTCACGGGAAAAATTTTTAAAGGTGTTGTCAAACAACATTTCTTCAAGGCCAAGCTGTTGTAATAGTACACAGAAGTCAGCTTCCAACAAGATGACACTTCATATCCACATTTCCAATATTTTTAGGGTGCAGTTCAGCAGTGTGAGCACCAGGTCTGCATTTACAAAATGTGTGCTTGTCCCCACAGACAAGCAGATATTGTACTTCAGCATCTGCTTACACACGTAAGCTTTGTATACATAGTTGGTGTGTATACACCTTGCAAGTACAAAACAGGCTCTCACCTTTGAAAACCACAGCACTTATAATATCTCAACCATTAGACTTCCAATTTCTTGCTTTGGTATTGCATCGATAGAAAATTTACAATGCCATTCTTCAGTCTTACACAGACTGAGTTATTAACGAAGCAAATAAAAAATAACAAGTCTCAGTATCCAAAGAAATCTACAAATACATTCATCAATACCTAGTACATTACAAATAAGGAGGCAATACATGTAATTGCTATACTATCAATGAAAACCAAGTAGTTGTAGGAAAGCCTGAAAGTCTTCCTAACATTTTTTCTCATGTAACATTTAATGTCACTGTAGCAACGATGATATAGCAGCTTCTACTATGTTACTTCCCAAGTTGTATACTTCATGTTTGATTGAAAAGCGGGGTGGGAAATGAAGGGCCTCTGAGGAGTTCAGCAGCAACACTTAAGTGCATTGAAAACATTGATAATCTGTGGCACACAGGAATTAATGGATTACACAGCATACTTCTTTCTATTTACAGTATCATACACTTGTATAAAGTCTCTGCTGTTTTTTTTTTGTTTGTGGGTTTTGTTTTCTTTTTTGTACTTAGCCTGTGGCAAATCACAGTAATATTATTCAAAGAAAAAGGAAATACTGTTTTCTTATGAAGACTAAGCGACTAATGGGTATTATTTATCCTTGCTTAAGCTATCTACCCCTCTGAACCCCATGAATTTGAAAATCAAATTGGCACAAAAACATTTTGATAACTTAATACACAAACTGATTGCTCTTGATTGTTTACCTCTTGACTTAATTGTTACGTTCACTGCTAGAAAATTAGCCACTTTGCTAGATGACAGAATTAATAATTTAAAAAAAATCAAATCAAAAAAACACACCAAAACAACCCTTCAACAAATAGCGACTTTGCTGCTGGGTATCTGACTGCATGATAGGAAACACCAAAGCAAGGGGGTATATCACAGTAATATCATGCTGCTCTCAGACCCCAAAGACTACAGCAAGCCTTCACAAATAACTATGTTTATGGCAGTAGTAAGCAACTCAGCTTCAGCAGAAAACTGCCTTATCACCAGGCTTAGTATAGCATCAGAGCCTTCAAAGCAGTTTCTAATATCAGTCTGAAGACACTGGGATTTCCAGTTCCAGCTGAGGCAAAGGCAAATTAGAGTGGAGTGGGAAGGAACATGTACACAATGTGACATAGCTGAAAACATGACATATTTGCACCTGAAGATGTAAAACTCACTGCAGTAAAGGAGGAAGAACAAATAAACGATATGACATCCGTCTCTGAGGGCAGGAAGCACAGCCCTCTACTTTGCAACAGGTTTTTATATAAGTATTTTAAAAACTGAAAAGAAATCGAATGTGTAACAATCAAGCAGAAGGACAATGCATAACACAAGAACCATGTGTGAAGATCAGTTTCACATCCTTCACAAGAAACCTGGATCTATGTCTTCGCTGGTAAAACCCTGTTACCAGGTCTGAAGAGCCTTTACATAAAAGCAAGCAGATGGATACCAGTATGGAAATTTTAACTGTTGTATAGAAACGTTTAGTTGTGAGACTGAGAAAGAAGGGCAGAGTTGCTTTTAGTGAAAGGATTACATACTCTTCTAGAAAACAACAAAAACACAGTAAAACAAAACAAAAAAATCCAACCAACTTTGCCAACTGATTATCAGTTTACAAACCTTTGTGTTTAAGTCCTCAACTAAGATATTAAAAATGCACTTGCAACACCTGAACATAAAATCGGGTGTACCTGCTATGACAAAATTACTTTTCTTTCCAGCATACTCTTCATTAGCTTTTGGTGCCACATGCCGAAGAAACTAGATTTAAATCAGTGAATGGCAAGTGTCAGCAGGCAATGATTTGCACTACACTGGTGGCTCCATCTTGATCATCCTTTTCTTCAACATCTTTTTTTAACTTTTAAACTTAAAAATCAATCTTCCAATTGGAAATTCAGAGCCAGGTCTGATTTTCTTCACCTCTGGTCACACTGTAGGACATCTTCAGAGACAATTCTTATTTCTTGCCGATTCCATTCGTTACTTTTGATTTGGAGTGCCGATTCCTCCTTCTAGATGAATGGCTTTCACTATTGACTGAATGTTTTGGTGGGCTATTGTCAGCACCTGCTGAGAAAGAAATAATTTTGACTATATATATATTTAACATTGTCAAGCTCTTGTCTAAAAGACAGTAAGGCTTCCTAGAGCTACAGTGTTTACAGTAGTTTCAAGCTAATACAAATTGGTTGATACTCGTACTCCATCTAGTGGCCTTTTTTTTTAAAAAAAGCAATTCTTAAGGCTTCTGTAAAATTCCTCCTCCAAAAAAAAAAATTCAGAACTTTGCTATAGCAGAATATAGTGGTGAAACATCCTCCATTTTAAATTACATCAATAATTAAACCTCCACATTTTTATTACTGGTAGGTACTACTACCAGAAATTAAGAACTATGGAAGTGAGGTCACAGATCCTTGTAAGAGTACATTTCTTGTTTTCAGTCTTTCATATGACAGAACACGCTTGATTGAGAAAGCAGAAGGAGACAATGGAGACTGAAACAAGAATTCAAGAGTGAAACATGAAAGAGGCTGAAGTTTGTAATTAATGAAGTAACAGAAAGTCAGAGAAAGATTTGCTTGGCCAGAGTTCTCCAGCATACAGAAATGGAAAAAAAATTGAGTACAAACAATTTTTCTCCAAAATATAAAAATCCACAAATTTACTAAACTGAAAATAAATTAATATCAGTATCCAGAAAAATCATGTATGAAATATAAAGAAGCTCATCTGTAGGTGCTCTTCAAGCATATGATAAATAAGAAATATTTTTAATGATACAAACACCTGGAGCATAAACTCTGACAGAGATAACTTTCAGGTGTGAATCTTGGTATTCGTTCAATAAGCAAGACCATACTAAAGAGTTAACGGGGAAAGCAGGTAACTTAACTGACCTCCAGTCCGGGGGAAAAGCAGTCAGAGAAGGAGGCTGCCTTTCCTTAGGACAGAGAAAGCTGTTTATGACCATCAGCACTGCATTGACTAGGAAGTGTCAGTAAGAACACAAGCTCCAGGGCACATTCCTGAGTGTTGCTTAACAAGCAGGAATAAAAGCACAATTCACATCCATATGTTTCAAATCAAATGTGCAGTGTTCAGAGAGAAAACCTGTCCACAACAGTTATGCAATGCATAATGCCCTAAACCTAAAAGAACAGCCTAGAGTAACAGCAGAAAAATTCAATTGCTTCATTAAAAAATAAATACATTTCCAAGAGTTAGAAGAAAAAAAGGCAGTAAAGCAAAATAGCTTTGCAGATGATTTATCTGTATAGCTCCTGCAGGGATGTTTAAATAAGTCCAGTTGTCTGCAAGGTCTCATTTCCTAGTGCTGAGCCTCAATGCTACCGCTTTGAGAATATAGGTGCAAAAGTGCCAATACCTCTACCAAATTTAGAATGAAGCCAGGATGCATCTGGACTGTATGGGCTGTCTTCACTTTCTGATAAAGTCTGCAAAAACAAGAAGGGTATATGTCATTGGGACGCTGGTGGTTCCCGTGATCAGCACTTCTCCCGTTTGCAATTAGATTTGTAAATTTAAACTGTGGCAGAAGTCCTCATAAAACATTCAGCCAGTACTTAGGACTTTTCCCTTCCTAGTTAGAAGGTACAACACAGATGATACAATAAGAACTCACCGCTTGCCACATGATCTGTTGTGTAACCAAGTATTCTTAATATTCCCCTAGCATTCCACCTGTACAATGGGAACATTAGCTAACCATTCACCCCTGAATGCTTTGCTAAAATTGCAGCCTCATTTTGAGTAACTAAGAGGACAGCATTCTTCAGAAACCACAGTGTAATTTGGGAACTGTCCAAGCCCTGCTGAATTCAGAGTTCTTTCTATTGACTTCAGTTAAGACTCTGGACCATCCCCCCTCACCCCCATTTATACTAGCTCTGGTAAAGAATTTGAATATCTAGGAGCTTTGCGGTTTTAATTCTGGTATAAAACAAAACAAAGCTTATTAATAAGTACCTTTTCTCGGAGGCCATAGTATTCTGCGTACCAAACCATACCATATAAACACAGGAAAGTTGTAAAGGCCTAAATAGCGGAGGAGAAGAAAAAGAAAAAATAATATGTAAAACTTTCTCCAAATTCCTTGCTGGTTCAAGGTCTCAGAGCCTCTGGAGATTCCACATTCAGAGACTTTCATTCTCTGTTTCTCTCTGCATCTTTTGTAAGGATGAGTAAGATTTGTGCTTCAACTTCAAGGTACACATACATTCTGCCAACCACAGCGTATGCAGACCAATTCTCAATGGCAGCAGAAGAATACATACAGATCACACACATATATGCAGGATACACTGTCAGTATGATTTTTGTCCTCATCCTGTACAGTCATCATACAACAGCACTTGGTAGGCACTCGTAGGTATATTATCAGGAACAACCAGTCTGGGAGAAAACCGAATTCTCCCTCTCCCTGCCCCATGTGTCAGGCTGGGTCACATGTTTGGTTTTGTGGTGCTCTGATCCAGGAAGCAATTCAATACTTTTCTCCTCTGAAGTTTCAGGAATAAAATCATCATGCTAAATAAGAGAACAATAAATTCTGACTCACTATCACCTGTTCAAACTGTATTCCCAACTAGAAGGGAGAAGTATTTACCTGTCAGCCCATTATAAATGCCTTATTTTTCACTGACCATTAAAAATGTGTTTGGCAGCGGAGTTACAAGTCTGGCAAGACAAACATTCATTTACTGTTATAAAATGGGCATTTCATGCTGCATTTGCAGTAATCACACTGAAGTACAGAAAGTTGCAGGCTGAGTGAGAATGATTTGCCTGATAAAGCAGGGTTGTTTATGTAGTTGTAAGACTTCAGTGTGAAACAACACGCATTACTTATTAATGCTATTCATCAACTCCTGTTCCTTTCCAGTGGGCACTATAGCAAGCACCAAAGTTAGCCTCAACTGAACTGACATTTTCTCTCATAAAGCGCCCTATAACCAGTGTTTGTTTCACTGTTAAGCAGTGGTAAAGTGGCTATATTCTGCTATGTCAAGAAATACGAAAAAAAAGTTATTCTAGTCCCTTCAAAGTGTGTTCTAAATGACCTAGCATTTGCTTCTCCTAGGACATGCACAAAGCTTTTTACCAGCATTCCCCTGCAATGATCCCCTGCTGCCAATGTTCCAGAGGGGAAGCTATTTATATGCTTTCAATGCTTTTGCCATGCTTTATGTTTCACATGAGAAATCTCACTTACCACACAGAGAAGCCAAAACACAACATACAGTATTTGTGTTTTGGAAAAAAGATCCTGTCCAAACTTTATGCACACAATAGCTTCAAGGAAAGCAATAACCCTGTGGGTAAATGAAAGAGGGGAGGGGAGGAAAGTGGTTACAAACACTAAGGATTTAACTCACATTTTCACAACGCAAACCCCAGACTGTCAGCTCTAAACAAGTACTACTCTCTAGTAAGCACACACCTCCACAATACCATCATTAACTGAAATTCTTTGGGAAATTTGTTTTTCTTCCTATACTTTTCTTCAGCATAAAGAGTATACAAAAACTGATTGACTGGCAGTTCATAATTCCATGAGCCTCTGCTTGTCCAGGGAACATGCAGGAGTGTGTGCCAACAGAAGAGAATTTCTGTTTATACCTACCACTGTGCTTCAGCCCTCACCAGATATAAATTCCTTTTCCATGCTGTTCACCCTGTTGGGTGAACTAGAACTGTGCTTTGGGTATTTCTCTATTAGATGTAAATTTACTACAATTCTGAATAGGCTACTTTGCATGTTTCACATGGATTTTAATGAGAAAATTAACACAAAACAGCATTTCAAATTCTCTGAGAATCCATGCATTTGCTCTGATTTATGTGTAAACTCAGGTCCACACTACACTATCAGAGAATTTTGGGAGAAACATGAGAGGAAAAATTGCAGTATTTACTTTCCTCTCTGGCATTATAAGAATGAAAACAAGTGTCTCCAGCTCTCTCCCCGTTACCAGATGTTTACATCTTTTCAGGCTCAAAGCTCTGGAGGCTTGTCCACCAGTTGGTGTGGAACAAGGGATTATGAATCCAAAACTTCCATCACCTGCCACAGAAATATATTCAGTTTTTATAGGTCCTGGACACAAAATTAGGTATTTTTAACAAATACAAGTGTAGAAACGTGACTGATGCAGCAAAAGCATAGAAAATTGACTCTCCTCAAGCTGAAGCAAATCATGAAGAAAACTATTAAATTCACAAAAGTTTAATACTTAACTTGCCCAATAGTGACCTATGAGCGCATGCATGAAAACTCCTCTTTAAATGTGTGCAAGCACACTTAACATCAAGTCAAGTGTTCCGGTCTCCCAAGCTCGACACTGCAGGACACATTCCTTACCAGCACTCTCCACAAACAGGGAGCCGCCAAAAATGGCTCTACTGCCTGGCAGACAGGACCCAGCTCCCTCTGCGAAAGAGGGAGGGAAGATGTGTGTATGACAACCATTGGTATTGCAGAGATGGTCCTGGTGCAAATAATAAATGACAGATTTCTCTGTACTATCTAATGTGACTTGCAGCATGACGAGTGGGCCCAAAACTTAAAATTGTGTAAGTAACGCCTAATTGACCAATACTGCAAATTAATGAAGTGCATATTAGTAAAAACTTGAGAGCAGTGTTACTCTCTTGGGTCACCAGCTATTTTTCTTTCTTGGTTTTATATTATTCTTACTGATTCAGCTGCACATTAAAAAAATAGTTAAACTGAACTACAGCAGTGGGAACAGAAAGATCACCATCAGGAAACAAACATATGAAGGTACGATATACTTGAAGGCATAAACACAACAGTAGGCTATTTTTAAGAAGGTATCAAAAAATGACACAGCTGTTTGTGCTGCATTTATACATTCCTTCCATTATTCTTGTCAAGAATACTTGGGTTAAGCACATTGTACAACAGAGCCGCTATTAAGGTTAAAGAGGTGGTAAATCAAAAGATAGAAGAATGCTAACAGTGAAAGGTCTTAATTGTCCTACTGAAGGGTGATGAGAATCCTTATTAGAACTAAAGACACTGTAAGTTTTTATTCAGTCAAAATGGTCTTCTAACACTCTAAGAGATATTCCTTTTTGAAAGGCTTCATCTTAATGCAAATGGTGCAATTTTCAGCACAGCTGTTGCACTGGCTTTGTTCATGCCCGACATCACTTACTGTCCATCTACTGAGAGTAGTGCTATAGTATATGTCAAGTCCTAGAGAACACAGTTTCATGCTAATGCAAGGCACTAATTTTAATTATTTCCATGCTTAGGCTGTGACAAATCCAATTTGTGCCTTTACAAGTGTGTCTTGATCATCACAGATATGAATATTCTATATACTTGCTTTTAATTGCTTCAGAAATTATATTTTGGATAGATAAATCACTGGAAGGGTCCTGCTTTTCCAACAAACAGGAACTCCTAGTGTTGTTCTGTTTTTTCTAGTAGATTACAGAAGCAAGTAGTATCAAGGAGAATACTTACTTCATGCATATTTCCCACAATTAGATCAGACTGTAGATGAATATTCTGTTGGAATTCTTGTTATGCTATTGTAAAGAGATATTTGGGCATCTATTTATTGACATATATGACATTAATGTGTTCAGTGAAAGCTTTGAGACAAGGATGATGGTTTCTGTAATCCTTAACAATTTTTCAGAGCCAGAAGGCAAACATTCAGCATCATACTTCCCTTCAGTGTGCAAAAGACTATGTTTACATTCTTTCTCTTGGATGAAACAGAAGTTCATCTTTCTTTCTTTCTTCATAATGCAGAACTTGAAAAATCTTTCCCCAAAATTATGAAATTGTTTAAAATGTATCTTCCATAAGACTCTAAAATTACCATCTACAGTTCAGAAAATTTCCATAAACAACTTAATCGCTAAATCATTTAAATATAGATTTCCGTAACATGTCTGTATTAAAGTGCATATCTCCAAAATATTAATACAGTTGATCTGTAACTACTATGATGCTTATGCACAAACAGGGCAAGGTTATTTGATTCTAATTGTAAATTAAGCAGTCATATTAACCGTTTGATTAATTAGTTATCTTCAGTACTAAAGCACCATCCATACCAAACCCAGAAAGACAGGTTACTCTGCCATGATCATTAAAAAAGTCCTTAAAAAGGACTGTGCTTGTTACAGATTCTCTTTAAGAATCATAATGCATGTTTCAAGGAGGCGGATCCTCCCTAAGTAAGGAGGTATAGGCTTACAGAAAATATTATCAATTCTTACTCAGCACCAGTAAAACTAAACAAGAACAGAGTTATTACCTTTTGTATGTTCATTGGATGTTACAGTCATGAGTTGAAGACAGTAACAAATACACCCCAGAAGGTGATAAGTCAGTGAAAGTGGTGAATATTTAAACCCAGCCAAACCCAAGGAGACATGTGTCATGTTCTCCAGGGTACATTTAAAAACAACAGTAGAAATCCCTTCAATTACACTGTAGCAGGCTCTGCTCTCATCTCAATTAAATGTTGAGAAAGGGGGATTCTTTAAGGTGGTGTAGTGCACCTGGAAACATGCCTTCCATCCCAGCACTGTTCCTAAAACTCTGTAATAACCCTAAGTCTAACAGTAAAGGTGAGATAAGTCTGCCAGAGCACTGTCTCTAAATTAGATCTGGGTATTTTACGGCTCATTGAAATGCTATTTCAATTCAAAACAGTAACAGAGTCTTCTATTAAACACAAAAATGGTTCAGACAACTCTGGAAATAAGACACACTAATCTTAAAGAGAATGAAATGGCTGTTTTAATTTAAAATCATTGCCATCAGAAATCAGCTTCTTGAATAGTTTCTTAAAATACATATTACATTTTTTTTCTTTAAGAGGTGATTTAGGATCTTTTATGTTTTCCCATTTGTAAGCTTCCAAATCATAAACCAAAAGGGACACTACTATGCTGCTTATTTACAAGAAGCTTTTACAATGCTACAATAGCATATGCTTCAGTTTTCCAGAACAGTACACTTTAGTCAATCCATCTAGAAGGACGTTTGCACTAGAAGCAATTATGCAAACTCTTCATTTAAAGGTCTCCTCCAAGAGACCTATTGAAAGAGACTGTAGCCAAGGTAACCATCGCTTATAGTGTTATTCATTTCCCTCTTTGAGAATAGAATAGAAATAGTGGATAATGGTGGTTTGTTTCACTGTCTTCTGTTGTGATTCCGCTAACAGTGGCAATGCCCACCTTGACAGCCAGGTAAACTGTTCTGATGACAGGCAAGCGGTAGAGGCAAAAGCTTTACCCTTCTCATCTGACTGAGAATATGGGCAGCAAGGCCACTGCCACTTTGAAGGAGCCTAGCTTTATCCAGCAGTTTCTAGCTCTTCTGTTCTTCTCCTTACTCATTCCATCACTTCCCATGTTCTACCTCCAAATCCAGAATTTTCCTTTCCTCTGAACTCGCAAAAAAAAGAAAATCTCTCCATACCATTCTTTATACTAAAAACAACACAAGACAAGGACTGGCTTCATGCAAAGCCTGTTGCTGTGCTGGACTCATACTTAACACTTGTCCAAGTGCTTTAAGAATGCAGAAAGAACACTTACCCGAACACCCAGCACTGAGTTCCCACCCTTTTGCACTGTGTATCTGTGAGGTACGCATAGTATTGCCTGAGAAGGGAAGTCAGAAAATTCTTCAGTGAAGTTGAAAGTCTCCAGACTATTTACATTTAGAAAACAAGTTTACGTTACAAATGTATCTATACTGAAAATGAAGTGCTGATGGTTAAAATCATAAGCAATCATGCTGGATGTCTACCAGATGGCTTCAATTCCAGTAGGACAGATTATCACATAGATCAAATAGCTTGAAACAACACTGAAAACAATCCTGAGAGCAAGGACTGGGAAAGTGCCCAAACTAGTAGGCTAACAAAGCTCCATATTTGTCTCCTGCCTCTCCAATTCTCTTAGGCTAAGTGCAACAGCTTCGAAAGAATTAGAGAATCCCTCACTTTTTCCACAGTTTGTCTATAATTTGTTAACAATTGCACTTTCTTGAGAGTTGTAGGTTTGAATCTTGCACGAAACTGAATACAGTTATTCCCTATCCTGGGTGAGTAGTCTAACCACTGGCATGTTTTCCTCTCAAGAAGAGAGTAGAATTTCTCACTATTTTGAAAACAGCCTGGAGATCATTCTGCTCTGTTCTCTATGCTCTTTATGTTCCTAAATTTTAAGAGTTTAGAGAGGAATGCCAAAGAAGTGGAATCAAAGTTCCTTTTCTCAGTCTCTGTCTCCGATTTCCACTGACAGATGGGGAAGACAAATGTTAGTAATCCAACAATATAAGGATTGTTTAAGAATAAAGACTTCTACAGGTTGGCAAGTGCCATGAAAATACTTAAAAGCTCACCTATACAGGAGCTTTTAGGATGTTTAAGGTGATTTAATTAACAGTGTGAAATCACGGCACATAACTTGAGATACTAACGGCTGTATTTCAGGAATAAACCAATGTATGGCTGCCATTTAACTGTCCAAGGTAATGTCACTTTACTCACAAATGGGAAATTTTCTGTCTCTAACTTCAGAACTACATGCATTCTGTCTAACTCCAGCTGTGTCACAGGGGAAAAAAAAAAATTAAGGGGACTCTGCTAACAACATGAAAAAGTGTGCATGACTAAAAGCAGGTTAATATTTCTGCACAGCTGTTAATGCTGCATATATACTGTTTGGTTACTCAGAACATGGTAACGCTCTATCTTTTCTTATAATACGCTAATATTTCCTGTAGACAAACAGGACAAGGAGCTCAGTTAGAAAAACCAACAGCTCTCCTTTTCCTCATCTACACATTTGTGAACACCTGATTAATCAACATGCTTACTTTCACATGCAGTCCTCAAGGGTAACGTATGCAGCTAACTCACAAAACAGAGAGATGCTACACAAAAAGAAGATGGAGCAGACTGGTTTTGCATGCCTATGGAAACACAGATGTTTATATACATTTTACCTTATTAGTTTACTTGTGAGAAAATACACTTTATTGAAAAGTGATGATTATTTTGCTTTTCACAGTAGCAAAAGCATAAGTTTTTTGAAATGTGTTGTACTTATGCACAAACTATATGCAGTTCTTGGGTGTCTAGAAGTCTACTTTCTTCAAACTGAAGAAAAAACACCATGGCAACAAAATTACCTTACAGTAGGTGCTGTAATGATTCCTATGAAGAGAATTCTCCCCCAGCTTAAAGGGTGGCTTGCTTGGAACACAAAGATATGTTTCAAAAAGAATGTGTTCAACTCAGTCAGCTAGGAAGAAAACAAACTTAGTTAATAGTGTTCAACTTACATAACTCTTAATGAGTTGCTACAGTAAATGTACAAAGATTAATATGGAAACTAAAACACAGAAGAAAAATTATTTGTGCTCTACTATAGCCCTGCTGGTTAGACTGAGGACTTAAAGAGTCTAAGATTCCTGCTCTAGGACAACCAAGGAATGTACTAGTAAAACAAAGAATTCTCCACAGACACCTCTATGAAAGTATTTGCTCTCTTTCCAGAAACCCATTAAAGGCCCAGACACTAATTCACACTGCACAGGTCTTCTGATAACTTTAATATCCTAAATCAGGTATGAATCACTGAGGCAAATTTGGTAGAGAAGTAGAAGAGATCATATTAAAAAAAAAAGTATATCAAACACTTCTGGTTCTCCTTTTCAAAATTAAATTCTGTAAATTAAAAAAAAAATGGTTTTAGTGAAGTCTCCTAGCAGTTGGAACATATTATGGAGTCTTGCTGGATCAAGGCCAGAATTCTGAGTATCAGCGATTCATTCAGCAGTCAATGGGAAAGAAAAAAACGAAACAAACAAAAACAAACCCCACACAACAAAACCAAAACAACAGCAACCACCACCAACCCCACCACAAAACCCGACTGTCTGGTAGCTTTTAAAACTGTATCAATTCCAAAGAGCAATCTGATGGCCAGTTACAGATTGCTGTACATTTGGATATTTTCCACAGATTCTGTAATTACACTCCTGAACTATCATGTAACTCCTGTGAACAATGCCCTGACCAATTCCATATTATCAATTCATTTAACTGTGTATTTCAATGATGGACACACATTGCACTACAGTATCTCCTAGCCAAACACAGCCAATAAGTAACTGAGCTGATGACAGCTTTGATTTCACAGAATTTATTTCTTACCTGCCAAATGATCATGAAAAGGTAGATTCCAGCCACTCTTTGAAATGAAGACTTAGGGTCAAACCAGCGTACATAGGTCCAGCTGGCTGGGGTGAACTGCAATACAGCTCTTTTGATTTTCCCTGTGGTCGTGTGAATGTCCCTAGAAAAAGAGAATGGCTGGAGTAAATATAAGAAATATGCAAGGGGAAAAAAAAGCAGTAGCCATGTGACTGATGTTTCAGAATAATCACACTTTTTTGCTGGACAGCAGAGATTTTCAGACACAACTGTGTACCAGGCAAGGGTGAATTAAAAAAATATAACCTATTAAGCATTTCAGTCAGTGTGCATTCTGTGGTATGGAAGTCCACCCTCCTCTACCCTCAGTCATTAACTACAAAACATATCTATCATTCTCTCCATGAAGGAAAGAAACAAGGATTGCGATTCTGCAACCCCCTTCAAAAATCTAGAGGATATTTCTTCCTAGTCTATGCTGCCACTGCTCTTACCCCAATGACTCCCTGTTCTAGAGCTCACTGATCTAAATCCTTCAAGAATCTGTCAGATTCATTATTCATTCATGCTATAAGGGGTTGGCTCCACAGGTTTGAAAATACTGCACTCCCAGTACACACAACCCCTGCTGTTCTGATATTAGATGCATGCAAATCTGGAGAGATGCGATAGCACTGTTGAAAGCTAGAAGGCTTTTAAATTCCCTTTTGAGAGAGGATGTGAACGGAGGTTCATCTGACAGATGTGTTACTGGTTCTTGCTTTTGATAACATTAAGTCAGATAAGCAATAGCATCCAAAGGACAGGGGATCTAAGAAAAACTCAGTGTCCTTTTCTGAAGGAAGACTAGCAGGGCTAGAAGTCAGTTTTCACCTTGTTATTTCCCTGCCCCTTCTGGACAAAAAAAATGGAGATTCAGATTTGATATTTCTGATACTTGTGTTCTTTTAGGCTAGTGGGATCTTAGGTTAGGGGGAACCTTCTAATCTTTAAGATCTGTGTTTATTCAATAGAAAAAGAAAACAAAAGGGCATGAGCAAAAGCTTCCCGTTCTATGCAGCTCCTCTTCATATTAAAGGGCCAAAAAAAAAAAAAAATAAAAAAAGAATCTACTCATGCATTTAAAAGAACATGAGGAAAAATTATTTCCTAAAGACTAGTCCTGCCATAGATATTCTCCTGTTTTAACTTTCAGTGAACTCTCTAAAAGCAGAGGGACTATCAACTCTAAAATGCTCATTATTCCTCCTGAATTGAAATGCAGGAAAATTGAATTGAGACTAAAGGCTGGATGGTTCTCAGAGCAGTTAACAAATTTGTAAGTAAAAAAAGAAAGTAGTACAGAAGTTCACATAGGGTACAAATTTGGAAGTCAAAATTTGAGCTCTTTTTCTATCTCTCAAGGCAATATCCCTTGGCAATTCATTCTACTTGATCCTGTTTCATCTGTACCCTTGGTAACATGCAGATAACACCAGTTGGCAGGGAAGAAGGCACAAGAGCATAAAAAAACTATGGAAGAAACCATATCCGGACAGCTAGGAACTGACACTTACTAGGCTACAAGCTGTTGCCCTTTTACACAACAAATGCTACTTTATGTTGCAATTAGTTCATTTATTTTAGAGGGTCAGCAGTGAGGTAAGGCAATTCACAGCACAGGTACAGTCAGCCGGATTCTTTTTCTGCAATTACAACTAGTGCTGACAGATTGCCACAGTAATAACTCATTAAGGTGAGCCCAAATCTAGTTTAAAAACACTGTATAACGAGAACACAATTACAATTTGTTTTGTTCACTGCCTTCTTCAAAGTTTTACTTGTACAAAATAAACTGAAAATGCAAATAGCTTTACTATTTTGTATTTTCATTTGGCATCAATGCTTGTAACTTAGATTGCAACAGAAAATTATATATATATAACCATATTTACAAATATATGCTGTACAGTTGCATTACTATGAGATGGATTTTTAACATTTCAAATAAATTTATAGCATTGTTAGCACATGCAGATCGCATGCTATTTCTAGACCACATGCATCTTACATATGCAAAGAGGGTCTATTTCCCAAGGAAATTAATTTAGTGTTATAACAATAAACATAACGTTTATCAAGCTTTAATTTAGACCTACTTGAAGCTTGCCCAGTGATAGGTCCTCATCTCCAAGAAACGACAAACTACCATGCCCAACCAGATGCCACCCCCGTTACAAAGCAGGACGTCCAAAATGACTTGATCCCACCAGCATTCAGCAAAATTAGGCAGAAGGTGCATGAAGAAGAGCTACAGAATACAGTAAAAAGATTCTGGGTGAGGAACAGCACAGAATTCATTTAATTCACTTTTTAAGCACACATTAAAAAAAAAAAATATCAGCTTTTCAGTACATGTCTTACTTCAAGGACATGAGCCACAATCACTGAAATTTGATGGGCATCCTTCAATTAACTTCAGAAGGCCTTGGATAGAACCACACAAGACACCAGAGGTTTCCTTCTCACAGTACCCTGGTGGGGCTATGCTGTGTATCAGGATATCATGCAGCACTCAGCCTCTCAAAGATGATACACAGAACACTCCTAGAAATGCATGAAACAAGCAAAACTACTGCATTTCTGGGAAGAAAGAAGGTGTTTTGTGCTTTAAAAAAAAAAAATTGAAGAGAATCTTTACTTTTGCTAAATAGTTTTAAGCATGTTTTCTAAACCAGCAACAAGATGGAGTAAGTAGAATGGATGCATTTGTAACAGCTGTCAGTACTGAAGCATGTTGGAGTTCAGGGCTTAAGACTTGATCTATTTCAAAACTTGTTCTTTCATTCACTATTTTTAGGAAATTTAGTGACTATAAAAAGATTAAGAGTTCACCAATACTTCAGATACTACAAGCTTTGCTGCTATACTGGATCCAGAATGGCTCAAAAAGTTAAGAGGATATTCCACTCTCCCTTCCTGCTTGGTCTGTGCTAATCATTAATGATGAAGGTACTTTTACAATGAAGATACTGGAAAATAGGCCAGAAACAAACCAAAAAATGAAAAAGCTAACACCATCTGGATATACCAAAACATACTCAGTCTCTTAAAGATTTTCCCTGGAAAGCACACAAATCATCTACCGCTGAAGCAATCTGTTCCTTTGTAAATACTAAACTTAACTGAAGACCACTATAAAGTATTAGTAAGGCAATTAAATGTATTTAGAGGTACATTTGGTGACTTTACACTTTTGATAGAGCAAACCAGAACAACTGACCAGCGTTAAGGCAAGATATAAACATAATTTACTGAGAGCTAGAAATGGATTCTATGTCTCTCATTCTCCTTTAAAAGGAAACAATTGTATTCTTTATTCTACAAGAAAAATCACAGCAACTCAAAAATTAGATTGAAGGAGTTAACTGTGGACTGGAAATCAAGACAGCCATGTGTTAAGCAGTCTCTTTGGAATACTCAAGGAGACGCTGAAAACACATAGCAAACTAAAGAATATTCTTTCCACCACAGAAACACTATAATTTTTGTCAGTTAACGTACATACACTGTGCCTGTGGAAGATTATTGGTATGATGTACTGGGTTTGTGTGGCAAGGTTTTGGTAGCAGGGAGGGCTGCAGAGGTGCCTCCTGTGAGAAGCTGCCAGAAGCTTCCCCCATGTCCAGTAGAGCCAATGCCCACCAAAGATGGACCCACCGTTGGCCAAGGTCGAGCCCATCAGAAATGGGGGTAGTGCCTCTGGGGTAACAGAGTTAAGAAGGGGAAAAAACTGTGGAACAGCAGCTGGAAGACAGGAGTGACAATATGTGGGAGGAACAACTCCGCAGCCCCTCAGGTGAGTGCAGCAGGAGG